ACGCTCTTTCTAGCTGTGGTGGTTTATTTGCAGAATATTGCAGTTATAGTTTTTTCAATTAAAAGGGCTGAAATGCGCCTTAAAAACCATCAATCAAATCTTTTTGCGTTTCTCCAAATTGGTGAATACTAACCGTAACCATGCACGAAATGTTTTTTTTTTTCACAAAATAATTTAAATTTATGTTGCTTTGCAGCCCTCACAAGCAACTTATATCAGCGACTATATGAGTCTATCAATTTGTACCTGTCTCTGTTGCTTTCCGCCTGTTGGAATCGTCGCAATTGTGCTGTCATGCATGGTAAGGTTAATTGCGACACTATATATGACGTCACATTGTATAATGACTTTCTGAAAAAACTTGGATATCGTGCATCGAAAAGATAAAACTGTGCATATACATGTATGTGCTATGTCAACATATACTGCAGCAAATATATGTCAAATATATATATATATATAATTATATATATACAGAAAGCCATTATGCGATTTGGTGTCATGAGAAAAATTTGCATATCCATCGTTAAATATCTGACGAGGCAAAGTAATCGTCAGTTCTGAAATGCTTTGAAATTTGAAAACCTTTAATTGGAACCTTAAACCTTAAACTCTAAGCACGCAAAGCTTCATGGGAGCAGAAGTTTCAAGCTTAGTGGTTGAATATTGCAGCTAGTTGTGAATGAATAGTTCTCGTATAAGGAGATATTTACCATATGTCTCTAAGAAATAGGCCCCATATATGATTTCTAAACTGATTAAATGATGCTCCCATTATACTTTGCACGGTTAGAGTTTAAGGTTTAAGGTTTAGAGTTTGAGGTTTTTCAAAGGGGGAGTTAGCTGTATATATGTTCAAAACTGTTGTCAATCAATTTGCTATGTTAAATAATACATGCATGCGATATACAATTTTCGTATCTGCTCCACAATGTAAAACGATTTTTTGTTATCAAGGTTTGTTTAAGCAGACGTGGTGGTGATTTAGAAGGAGCAAAGATTTTTTCAAAATGGGCAAACTATTTGTCATCTTTTTCAATCATATTAGGTGTAATAACCTATATCGCTGTTATAAATCATTTAGTCGTAAACTCAAATAGCAGTGGTGAAAATTAACATTTATGCAACAAGGGGAAAATATTTGTCTATCAAGTGTTCCTGAAACAATTACTGCACATGTTGTAAACAGTACTTGTTATAAAATATATATTTTGCGCATGCGTGCAGCCATATAGCTTCAAATATACAGCATTAGCATAAATTCAGTATTGAAAAATGGCTTTCAAGCGTTCTTATTGGCTCCCTCAGCAGTGACTCTGAGGAAATAGTTACTGCTCAGACTGCTCTGAGCAGTAATTATTGCTTTCAAAACAAAATGGTTGCCAAAAATCCACTTGCAAACAAATCATCGAAGAAAAAGTTCGGAAGAAATTAAAGCACATAGCCTACTATTCCTCTGAAAGCAAAAGAAGCGACAATATATGGTGTTAACCTATTTCCGAATAACAAAAGCACCTTTAGTCTTAGATGCCTAAAAAATTTATTTAGCAATTTAAAACCGGAAAATAACCGAACCGGGCGACAAGATTCCGACAGCTGGATTCGTTTGACTCAAAAGTGGAAGAGTGAAGTAAATTATATTTACAACGTTTGAATATATTATTATTTTGCAATACTGAATTTATACTAAAACCGCAATCAGTCAACTCGGTAATCGCAACCTGAAATTTATAGTAAAGGTTCTATATAATAGTTAATATGTGAGTGTAAGTGTACTTGCCGATTTGTATAGAGTGCAGACATTAGATTCATGAAATTGTACAACTTAATAATCTGATCAAGTACGTATAGAGATCTATTCACCCTGCAGGCCGGCCAAATATTTTCCTATATGTGTATAATTTATTTTATTTTATTTGTCATTTTATCTGATCAACAGTGTAATAGGGTCAGATCGGCTTGGCTATACAGGGTGGACGGTGGTCCAATTTAATGTTCTGGGTCAACTCTCTGTAAATAAATTAATTACTAAATATCATAATATAATCATCTATAATCTATATACTCTTTAAAGTTTGAAGTATAATGATTTTTTTATTCCTAATGTAAACAAACGCTTTGTTTACATTTTGAACTCAGTGCTACAGTTGTAAAATATGATTAGATATATACATATTATACTGAATTTTTAACACTCTTCTGGTTCGCCATTGGAATGTAAGCCTGCGCAGAATGTATGCGCAGAACGGACTTTACACGGTCTTTAAATAAACTTATACACCGTTTATACTTTCACTATAATTTATTCTATATGATATGAAATTCCTATACACGAGTGCATATGAGTGCATGCACTCACGACCCAACGTTTCGACATATCACGCTGAAGTAATCATTAGACCGATTAAGATTCCAAAGTCTACTACAAAGCCAAGTGGCCCTTATATAATCTTGTGAATCAGGACGTATGACTCTGCTATATAGTGGGGCGGCCATAAGCATTCAATTGACCATTTGCGTAACAGACTAAATTTTTATCTGAACAAGTCTAGACAAAAATCTCATCACAGCTTGAAAGAGCATCACAAACTTACTAATATTCCAAAGTTTCGTTGCGAAATGTTGTAAAATGCGGATAATATAGCCTTGCGAAGTTTGCACTTTTCAGTAGTCATTTTAGATTACAAACGGGAAACTGACAGCCCCAAAGGTTATTGGTGTGTGTGTGTGTGAGGGAGGGGGGGGGGTGACACCCCCTGAAACATCTTGTCGGCACAATAACATATTTATCGCCAAATTGTTTTCTTTGTTAGCAAAAATATTTGAGTGGCTCGGATTAAAAAGTAATAGCAAACAATTTGATAAATTGAAGAAAATATTACCGAAAAATTAACAAATTACGGTACATTAATTCGAAAGTTAGGGGAAAATGGTATGTTTTGGGAAACAACACTTTTGGGAAAAGAAATATTAATTAACGACTCAATTACTCAAATGTTGTCGGCAAATGCGATACTACACCGACTCCCCTGCTTTAGACTCATCGCTACCGACGCTACGGGCCTGACGAAGTGTACAATTCCACGAACAAAGCAGTAAAACGATCCAATAAAACCTAAGTTCCCCAGCAATAATTTCATCATAAACTGCTATTTGGACTTGGAACTTCCACTTTTCAAGCGGCATACCTTAACTTTGTATGTATGTATAAACTTTATTTCAACACGGAAATCTCATCATTCACAAACAATGCTCTTCCTGAGAGCCGTCTCGTGACTTGCATCGCAACAATCCGGCAATCGAAGACAAGGAAGTGCTCGTCAGTTGTGAAATATCCGCTGCAATATCGTACCCATAACCGAAATCAAAGGTATATATTCAAACATTGTAAGATCTATACATTCAAACAGAAGGTAAGGCTTGTTTCATACGTCGAATTATCGTCGAATTTAGTTCAGACGAGTTTAAATTGAACGAATTAAATACGACCGGGGGTGCGTTGTATGACACGAATGAAATTCGTCTGGTGAATTAAATTCATCCAAAACGTTTTATCCGTAACGTTAAACGTTTTATCCTTCTGTGTAATCAATGATCACTAATCATAAAATGAATTTGTCGATTGAAACGAAACCCTTTTAAACTCGGCCAATGCAGGACGAATATAATAACGAATTAAATCGTCGGAGATAAATTCAACGTATGAAACAGGCCTAAGTAGACATGCTCCAAGTCGAACTCCACTGTTAGCGAGCGAACATCGACTTCCGTAAATTTCTTACTCGTTCGTAAAGCACTTCCTCGAAAATCCCTTTGCTTCCAAGTAAAGAGGAAGGACTTTAAGTGCTGCAATTACAATCTTTTAAAAAACTTGTAGTCAGGCAGATAGAGGAACAAAAATTATGGAAAACTTACCATATCGAGGGGCAATTCCATTTTGCGTTCATATTGTGCCCTGAAGACTAGTAATTAAGTACGTTTCTGTATGGTTTCTGTATGTCGGCGGCGTTAAAATGTCTTGTGGGCTCCTGCCGACGTTTTTCTTTGAATTAGTTTTGTATTAATCTCTATTACAGTTAAAAAATGTGAAATTTCAAATACATTTCTAACAAAAAAGACTTACATAATTAGAAAGCTTGCAAAAAACTACATACAAGACATTTAAGAGGTTTTCACGTTCTTCTTGAGTTACGAGCTGTTGAAAGCGTGTTTTCAGACTAGTACCCAGGATTTTTGCGAGATTTTGGCTTATTTTTCACATTTAGAACAGCAATAACTGGAAAACCACTTGAAAATCCCAGCTAACCATTTAAATTTCTTATATGTAGTTTTTTGTAAACTTTCTATTGATGCAAGTCATTTGTATTAGAAATGTATCTGAAATTTTTACATTTTTTAACTGTGATAGAGTTTAATACGAAATTCGAAGAAAAACATGCCGCCGGCCAAGATATTTTAATGCCGCCGACATACAGAAGTGTACTTACTAACTTTTAGGGCACAATATGAAGGAAAAATGGAATTGCCCCTCGATGGGGTGAGTTTTTTGAAAGAGTAAGCAAGCTATACCCGTAAATAAGGTTAGAATAGCAGGTGTTTGTTTGCTAGACGCCATCTTAAATCACGAATTGAACCCAAAATACCAATCCGGCACAACACGCACCATTTGGTCACAGAATAGATACAGGACCAGAAGTGCCACTCAGACGATATTTTGTCCGAAATTTTACGAGTGCTGACGTGAAAATACGCCATCATATGACGCCATCCTGGAGTGCAGACGGATGTTTTTCATAGGAAAACATAGGTACAAAGTGCCGGGTGCACTCCAGGATGGCGTCATAGCACGTAAAAAAATTTCGGACGTTTTCCTTCAGCCAAAACAAATAGGAGTGACACTTCTGGTCCGGTATCTATTCTGTGACTTGGTGTTTCGATGCATGCAGAAATTGGTACTATTTAACAATTAGACAACGAGGCCGAGTTGTCGATGAGCCAATAGTCAACGAGGCGAAGCCGAGTTGACTATTTGCTCATAGACAACCAGGCCGAGTTGTCTAATTGTTTTAGTATAAACTTTAACATTAATTTACAACTAGGCTGCAAACACAATACAAAGATACACAAAAAACATTATAAAACCATTAAAGGTAAACAAATATTTTAGTTTTTGTTCGCGTAAAATGTTTTACAAAATTCAGTTTTAATTTTAAAATTTCATTGTGCGTATGTTATTTTGTCTATTTTCTTACCCTTAAAAATTGCCATTCCATATTTTTGTTGCTTTTTTCGTTTTTTTTTGTACAGAATTGTTCAACAAGTTGTCCAAAAAATCATCAGACACTTCGGCAAAAGTGCAAAACGCGAATTTTCCGCCATTTTGAATTTTCTATTAGTAGGCTATCACTAATAGCCTACTAGTAGCGTAGCCAATCAGAATCCACCAGAGAAAGAAATCACGAGACAAAGAAAAATTCCGCTCCGCGCGGAAAGGTCCGCCTGTAAGTGGAAAACGGCCTTTAATTAAGGCGGTTTTCCACTAGGCGAAATTTTTCGATCGAACCGAAATTTCTATTGTTCAAATTCGTGGAAAACCGCCTTAAGGCACGTTTTGATACGTCGAATTTCGGTCGCATCGAATGCAATTCAAACAAGATAATAATGAAGCTTAATGAGGTTTATCTATTGTTTGAATTGCATTATCGACGCGACCAAAATTCGACGTATAAAACAGGCCTCACTAATTATAGCCACAATAGAACTGTCCATTAAATAATTTTTGTATCCCAGGCGCCGTGACATTTGAAATATTTACGG